CCAAAACTTTCCCTCTCGAGATTGCCAACGCGTTTAGACGACATCTCGTTGAGATCAATCAGTCACGACCTTTGACTTTGAAGGCTGGTGATCTCGTAGTTCTCACGGCCATTGGAACAATATTCCCAACCTCGGATCATTTCCATCAAGTTGTCACCCCTGCAATCTTGACCATGGGACGCTATCTTGGTCAAAAGATTCCTCAGGATCTATCCAATTATGCTACGGGAGCATATCTTTGCACTTTATGCTTACAATATCAAAGATTATCGAAGAGATACGTTCCAGAGCTAGCAGGCTTCATCGAGAATACCTTATGTGCTTTGGCGCCTACCAAGCTAGCCAAAATCCCAGGAAGCTTCCCATATCATGAGCCAAAGAGCTCTGTGAGGATAGAAAAGGCGTCAGCATCAGACAGACAAATTGAATTCTATGACTGTATCCCACAGGAGCTTTCGGCCGACGACGAAGAGTCCTTGAAAGTCGCTTTGTTAGAGGCAAACATCAAAATCTTGAACGCAAGCGCCGATTTATGGACTGAAAAATCAGCCTTCACCGAAGTCTTTGAACCAGCTTTGACGATCCTTAAACATCTGGGAAGTAAATCTTGCAGGTCAAAGCTTCCAGAAAGTACTCAAGTAAGTCATACAGCAGAATTTATAAGTCTAATACTAACCAGCCCTCTAGACCCTCATCCGCAAATCCATCTCCAAATTCCAAACCATGTTACAACTAGCGCACCTTGCCCGTCGTCCTCTCGAACTCCACCACCATAAACCCCTCGCCATCAAAACCTCCATACCCAAATTCGAAGACTCCTACAATCCAGATAAGCACTATGATCCAGATCGTGAACGCGCTGAAACTGCTAAATTGAAGGCTGAGCACAAGAAGGAGAGAAAGGGTGCTATGCGTGAATTGCGCAAGGATAGCAATTTCATTGCTAGAGAGAGCTTGAGGCAGAAGAAGGAGAAGGATGCGGCGCATGAGAAGAAGATGAAGAGACTTATTGCGGAGATCCAGGGCGAGGAAGGAAAGGAGTCGAAGGCTTATGAGCGGGAAAAGGAGTGGAGGAAAAAGGGAAAGAAATAGATATCTCTCTCAAAGGATGTGAAGTAGTGGCGGTGCGGTGCCATATGCGGTAGTGTCACCACGTAATGTGTGGATTGGTTAGTGGTGTACATGTTGGATCTGTGGACCTGAAAGAAAATCATTCATAAATGATATAGATACCAGCTCAAAGGTTAAAAGAATAAGATCCATTTTCCATATTGCTTGCTCTTCGTAAAGTTATGCTTTGTCCCTCGTTATCATGCTTTGTTATTCATTATGTTCATATGCTAATCATTCTTCCATCCCTTTCGAAAATCAATTTTGCCTTCACTGCCTCCATATATTCATGACCCTACCCGACCTGAGAATTAATTTACACTCAATTTCTCAATACTCTTTCTCAACTCTTCATTCTCCTTGGTAATACCACTGTATTTGTTAATCCAGTCGAAAACCTCCTTATGCCAGACCCTTGAGTTTTCAGGCTTCAAGACCCACTAAGATCACACAACATTAGCATTATACTACAACAACCGAGCATCTCAGGGGGAGGGAAACAAACTGACATGATTTTCATCTGGGAACGTCAAGAATCTACTTTCTACCCCACGTGTCTGCAACACATTAAACGGAGCAAGTCCCTCTGAAATGGGCAATCGATAGTCCAAATCGTTGTGGATGATTAGATGAGGGGTTGCCCAATTAGCGACGTGGTTGGCAGGATTCCATTTTGCGTATCCTTCGGGGTTGTCCCAGATTGTACCTTCGAAATCGTGATGGGGGAAGAAGAGTTCGTCGGATGTGTATTGGTTTAGAGTTGAGAAGACACCGTCGTGGGTTACGAGAGCTTTGAATTTTCGGCCCAAATCGTGACCTTGGATCCAGTTTACCATGTATCCACCGTAACTGGCGCCACAAGCTACAGCACGGTTGGTATCGACGTAGGATCTAGCTTGTGTTAATATTGACTAACAGGTGTGGGAGATCAGGAACATTCTGAAAGCTTACAGGTTCTCTTCAATATACTCGAATCCCTTGACAAGGTCTATATATGGTCGTCCACCCCATTGACCTTTAATGCCATCTTGCAACGCCATACCGTAGCCAGTGCTTCCTGTTGGGTTCGGGGTCACTACAACATAACCTTGTTCGGCAAAGACCGCGGGGTTCCATCGCGTGCTCCATCCTTCGTTCCAGGCACCTTGCGGCTAAGTCTATGATTAGTATGTTGCAGAATTTATTGTCAGATATTGAGTGACTTACTCCGCCATGAATGAGATACGCAAGAGGATATTTCTTGTTTTCATCGAAGTTCGATGGCCGGAATACCCAAGCGTGGACTTTGTAATCTCCAGCTCCTGTATACCAGAACTCATCAACCTGCTTTTGTGAAAGTCCGAAAGCTTTTCCATCATCTGAGCTGGATGAAACTGTGATCCTTTCCGAGGGTTTTGATGGGTCTATAATCGAGTAGACGCTGTTGTCAATTAAGGAACTCCCACTAAGAAATATTTCACCACTTGGGAGAACATGCTTTTCCGTGATAGTTCCGCTATTAGTCAGAGCTTCGGGTAATTTAGTAGCATGGCGTGGGGAAGCTGGTAGCTTGAACAGCTTTACTCGGCCGTCTTCTTCTGCTGTTACGTAGATCTGGGTTCCATCGTTACTGAACGTGACACCCTCGGGTTTCAAGTCCCATCCACCCTTGCCATCCTCTGTTTCGAAGAATTCTTGGACATTGGTGAGGTCAGTAATGTCAGGTATTAACAAAAGTCTTGTCTTATCACTTTCGTACTGAATACCTGGTTTTTGTTAGAAAATTGCTCGCTTAAGAGATAAAAACATGTTACATACTCTTCATTCTCGTGAAAATCACAGACTTAGCATCTGGCGACCACACGGGCCCTTGACTGTAGCCTTTCAGGTTACCAGTCTCGACCAACTGGGGTGTTGGAGCCTCTGACTCTGTGAATGTCTTCAGAGGAATGTAGTATAGATCAGTCTTTGTATAGTTGGCTGGGTCAATCTTGGGATCCTTGGCAACGAAGACTATGCCGTTTTTACTAATATCGAAATCTCCTGTTCCTCCAAATGGTGGTACTGGGGACTCAAGAGATATTTTATGACCCGTCAAAGCATTCACCAATCCAGAGACTTTAGTATCTCCAGATCCCTCGCTTTTTGTAATCGTTGCATACCAGATCGCATTCTTGTTTTCAGTAACCCATGCATCCCATTCTCTCACAAATAGCTTTGAGTATGTTTTAGCCGTTGACAGAGGCTTCTTAGCTGTTTCAGCATTGTATAAAGTACCGGATGGAGTTGCCAAGCCTGGGGGAGGCGAGAATTAGCTATACTTGAAGCGACAGTATATTGAAACTAGACAGTATCCGACGATATGACTAAGATAATCGAACGTTCGTACTGAACTATTTTTCACGTGTAGTTGAACTTCGAATTCATTCGGAAGTTTCGAAGAAGAAAAAAGGACAAGTAATTATAGTACATACCAGAAACAGCTATAGCTACAACATCCGAAGTAAGAGCTGTAAGTTTCACGTTTGAGATGCCACCGTCGAAAGTCGTGATAATTTTGGGCCTACAAGCTGTCAGTCAAAGTTCGTTCATGAACGGTACCTGTATTGAGTCATATTTACTTCTTTTGTAAATCATCTGCATCGGCCAATACCAAATGTGTCACTCCCTTCTCTCCAGCTCTCAACCATAGTACCTCATTCTTCCATCCCAGCCACACTGGCTCACTATCATTCGCATTATCGCTCAGGGTTGAACTTTCCCCAGTACCTATATTTAACACATTGATTTTGGCAGTCTTTGAATGAGATTGAAAAGAATACGTCGAGACAGTATACAATGCCAGTTTACCATCTGCGTTTGGTGTTGCTGCTGATCTCCGAGGGGCAGAAATCAACACCTCGGGGGTGAAGGTGGAGGAATTAAACCGGATAGTCATGATTTGATTGTTCAACTTGATTCTGCTTCAGAAAAGAATGAAATGTCTGATTTTTCGATAGTTTTATGGCTCAACTTTTCAATTGAACAAGTGTTGTTGACAATCGAGAGTTAGAAAACAAAGTATTGAATATGGCCACTCTAATCTTACACCGCAATGGAGCTTCAAGTTAACATGCACGTGATATGCGAGGCAAGCAAGTTCAACAGAAACCCCGCAAATGATATCCGACACTAGCCTTGAAATCAATTTAGTCAGATTTAACGTGAATGTTCTTCTATCAACAGTCCAACAGTTAATTCCATCCTTCTCTGATATCAGAATGTCATGATTACCTTTCTAAACTCAGCTACGTACCAGATAGTCGAGGCAGTAGAATACTTATATCTCCGCCACAGATTGCCTTGCCGATATTTTGGTCCAAACCCTTGGCAACGGAAAGCGCGGTACCTAGGTTCATCAGGACCTCTCCACTTGATCATGTTGGAGTCAATTAGACCAATTTTCCACCAGTCAATATCAATCGTCAAATATACTTGAGTGACCTATTCAAAGTCGTGGATGTTATTCTTTCCCTTCAGAAAAAATACATATGCAGTCCAGCTCTAGCCTTTTCGCATCTCTTTGTTTCATTTGTGTTTTCGTACTGCAATTCAATTTAAGGAATTATATTGAGGCTTGCATATCCATACCAAGTTAAGCCATTCCTTTCGATGCCGTGTAGCCCATCCTCTTCGGTGCTGCTGCGCGTCGACGAATCTCAGACTCTCATCTGGGGGCCAAGTGTCTCCAGGATCGCTTCCCTTGGTAAGGATTTAATCACAAAAACCGATTAAAGGACTAGAATTGGATGAGATCCCCATTTATCCTAGGCTCCCAAGAATTACAATTACAATTTCTTACATATTAGTGCTACTCATGACTATATGGTGTTTGTTATTTATATAACCGTGCTTGTTGGCTGTTTCGCGTGCTATTTGCTATCCGCGATTCCCTCTTCGTCTTCGTCTTCGTCTTCTCTTTATTTGACTGCGCTTATTTCCCGTATGTTTTTTATTAATTGCTGGCCGAAGACACGATCATGTTTTCATTTCGAGGGTTTATACTACAGTTGATGATAATAGCAGTATGTCGAGCCGAGATAACTTTTAAATCTCCTTCCATGGGAGAAGTTGTTGACCCAGGACCGTATAAAATTCGTGCGGGTGATAGCGGGATAGTGCCCACGCTGGGACAATTTGATGATGCCAGTTGGGAGGTTGTTCTTTTCACTGGAAATGATACTGCTCCAGTAAGTTTGATTTCGCTTGGATGCATTCATACGGTTTATATATCGCAAGGGAGAGAAAGGGAAAGGTTAAATCCGGATCGATGAAGCGGACTGACGAAGCGATGCTGATTACATACATTCACAGTTTGAGCTTTATATCTTCAAATTATCTGGATACCAAATGAGCAATCCAACGACTCAGTCCCCTCCAGTGAATATCAGAAACAGCTCAGGTCCGAACCTAGAAGACAAATAGTAAGATACCTGTTACCTCCCTTTAGAACACCTACCAATACAGAATAGCTTTTTCGGCTACCGCTCCTATCTGACATCAAATGAATCTATTTGGATCACAGCCTACTCGGACCGATTTACTCTTACAAACATGACCGGTTCCTTGCCTGATGATGTGGTTACCGCAAATGACAATGTGAACTCGACAAATGCTCCAAAACGAACAATTTCTTGCGGCGCAAAGTCTGGAGGAGAGGTGAGTCTACCCGATCCACCAATTACTTTGCTTTAATTGCATACTTCTGTTCCCTGATCTCAAACTTTACCTCTATTTTGCATTGCACACGCCCCTTTTGCTACATTATTGGCGGCTCGTTTTCCTCGTTTCCTCCAGAAAATGTCCTCAAGACGCAATACTGACCCTCATATCTTACAGTGTGACGAGAAGGTCTTAGAAAACCTGGGACTGGGATCAGTGACGACAAATACTCCAAGTGTTAGTACAACGGCCGCAGCAACCACAATAGGAACTGCTCCAGAGAACACAACTTCCGATACCAACGAGGATAGTAGTAAAAGATTAAGCCGTGGAGCATTTGCGGGGGTAGTCGTGGGTGTCGCGGTAGCAATATCGATTATGATCGCGGCGGGGGTGTTCTTTATAATGAAAGCCAAGAAGAAGAAGAACGTGCCGAAACGAGAAACGATTAGAATTAATGAAAATTTGCCGAATCAGGATTCGAACGCATTTCATGAAGGGGATACTTACGGAGGAATGATGAAGAAGAATGGGATCGAAGATGTGGGCAGACGAGAGGAGTTGGAAGATCGTAGAACGTATGAGATGAGTGCGGGTCACCATGGAGTAGCGGAGATGCCGGTAAACTCGTGAGCTCTACCAAGATAACAATAGACGTGGGATGACTAGGTATACTTCTAATAGCCACTTGTTCCATATATTTAACATGTGTGTAGCGTTTTGACAGTCTCAAAATACTGGCGATAAAAACCTTGCACTGAATGTCATTTGGGATCTTAAATCCGCTTTGACAATTGCAGTGCTCTCAGAGAACCACACTTCTTTGAATATCTAAAGGTTTAAATATAATTTGCTGTAATCCGCATCATTGAAACACCTCTTGGAATACGACACTCTGGTTTCCAACAAGAGTAAACCATTTGTTGATTAAACAATGTACAATCTTGAGTATATGAATCCCTCTAAGGCGAACAACCCTCCCCTATTTCTCCGCTTCTCATCTCATGACTCTTCACGGACATTTCGAGACGAAATCGGATATGAAGCGTCACCATCTTTCAATTCATCAGTAAGCTGTTGGTGGAAAAGCTAGTTCGTACATCAGCCCACTAAAGCGAGTGTTGATCTTTCTGGTTGACTCTGGGCTCTGCTATAAGATCTCCTTCGTGAATCCAATTCTTTGTCGCAATTGTCGAATGCGTATATTTATGTTGATCCCGACTTTTGATTGCTTAAACAGATCGCGAGTGCAGCCAGCTAGAAATCTACATCTTCAACAGTTCTTTCATCATCAACCGAGTTGTATTCCCCTAAGAAAGAAAGGGTTTGTGCATTTGGCTGTCATATTCTATAACCTTGGGTTGGTGAATGATGGGTTTGTGTACCTATTTGGGTTAAATGGACTGACTAATAAGATATGGATGAGAAAAGAATTGAATATGGAAAAAGGACTATCAGATCAGATATGATGAATGCTTCTTTGATGATTCCATATTCATAAGTGTCACATTTTTCGCAATAATACGTAAACTTTAGAGCTTCTGAACGCCCAACCCTAAGAGTTTAAAACCCCGCAGAGGATGGATGATCCGATACCACAATACCGGTACTACGCGTGACTGCCCCACAAGAATAACCCTTCGTTCGTCAGCCTTGTGGGTTACGATTCTGAACAAATCAACCCATAATTCTCATCATAACCACTTTCTTCACTGAATGTAGTTTCAACAAACATGGCGATGCTATCGCCAGCAGGACAGGAGCGATTGCTGTTTTTAGGGCTGGGGATTACAACTTGTGCTGTTTTGGCCTTCGTGCGTTATCGCCTCGTTCATTTTCGTGAAGCTGCCACAATTCCAGCACCCGAGAACAAATCGCATTTCATCGACCAGAAGACCGAGGATTCTTTGAAACTCAGTACATTGGAGAAGTTGATCAAAAATCCGAATTACGGAATTCAAGAGACTGCATCAATTATCGTCTGCGAACGTGCTCTGCACAATGAATACGCCATTAACAGCCTACTTCATGAAATTAGTCAACCAGAATACGGCAAACGAGCGATAGCAGTTCGAGCATTTATCTTGATTGTGAACAATTGTATGTATTTCTACTCTCAACTTCCCGTTTCATTAGGCTCATTCTATTCTAGCGACTGTCAAACGCATACACAAGCCCGAAACATATGAAGCACTTGTCAAAAGCTTGGAATATTCTGTTGAGGACTACGTGCACCATGAATACGACCCAGACTGGGATAACTGGCCCCTTCGCGACACAGCGGAGAAAAGCTGTCTCATGATAATAAACGAGTTGATTTACAAATACGGTGTTCAGGAACTTCTCAACGCTGGGTTTATAGAACGTTGGTTGGTGAAAGAGCCTTGGGGTGTAACCACAGAGGAACGTTCAATCAACTTTATGGACTCCCTCAACAAAGAGAAGAGCTTGAATCGAGTGATTGTGCCACTATTTCATGACCAAAGGGGCAGGAAAATGTTAGAGGAAGCGAAACTTCTACCCGCAAGCCCTGATTCAGCTGCAAGGTACCTTGCGACGAAAGGAACTGAGGATCAAGACATGGAGGAAATCGATAGCTATTATCTCGAGAGAAGACCAAGGGATCAAACTACGGCAGAAGATTATCTCAGAAGACGCCATAGGGAGGCCATGGTTTTGAACGATGGCACAAGGCCCTTCGAAAGAGGCGACATTTATGAAAATCAACAAAGACCTAGGGGGTCTATGGAATGAAACGAAAATATTCATACAAGAAGAAAAATCGAACGACTCCAGGCAAAGTCAAAAGGTTTGCTTCAACAACCTACATACCCAAGTAGTCATTCTCTGAGGTATGTTCTACATTGGAACAATAATATACAATATCGCCTTGCTCTTGTGGTTTCTATATAAGTAACTCACTAATCTGGACAATGGCTACAGAAAATATACGTTTTCAAGTGTTTATATAGCGTTCACTACCTATGGAGCGAAAGGACTAGGACATGACAGCACTCATCGCTTTACGGCTGAAATTTCGAGCTCCTACAATTGCCTGCCTAGATTAAGGTTAACAAGGGTGAAGCTATCGGATATCTTGACATTGAAGTTAAAGGGTATCAGACAGAGAAATTGTTAGCTTTAAGTTACCAGACAATCAAAGTCCTAATTAATCGTAATTAATTTCTTTCCAAACTGAGTGATGTCCTAGATGTCCTAGATTCCTAGTGCACTTTATATGCTACAAAATACTCAAGCTCCGAGCTTCAGATGACGGACTATCATGATGCTTACCCTGATGCTTACCCGTACCTGTCTGTACTTGTCCTGTACCTGCATCAATTGCAAGGACCAGGGGGCCATCCTGACATCAAACAATGTTGGACAAGCAACGAAATGGAAGACTCTCCCAAACTGTGAATTCCTATATCAATGATGTCGTGAAGCTTGTATGTGCTTTATTCACTCATCACTAGGTGTCTAAACTGTATGGTGTGTACTTCCTGTGAAGTTTGATTTCGATGTTCAAGGAGCTAGAGAGACAATAATAAGTCGTATCTATATTAGGATCCCCACACATTCCGATAGGCAGAGATACCTCTCGAATTACTGGTAGATTTAATCAGATTTATCGGTTCATGAGAGACATGTTAGCAAAAGCATTGATCACCGAAAGATACTACAGGACATCCTTTGAATGGGGGTAATATAGAATCACCCAATATAGACAATCAACTGAAGCTTAAAGAAGGACCATGAGGCGTTTCGCTGGGCCATCTAATTAACAATGATGAGGACAGCTGCTTCATGTCCTTTCCAGCAAAATAGGAATAGTGGATTAGATCGGATAGGTATGTAATATACACCTGCAGAAGCTTCATGATGGGGGCCGGACTATGCTTCCATAGGAAACGGTAGAATGATCTTACAGAACAAGGAATAAGGAACCACAATTTGATTACACTCATGCCCACCGATGCCATTGGCTATATTTCCGTATCGAATGTTGACTTTGATCTTCTTCCACTCTCAAGTTCACCGTGATACTCTTCCTTCTGTTGCAGGGGTCGGATCAACATGTCTATAAACAAACACATGTACCGGCGTTGATCTCTCCTGCAGACTGCATTTGCATTTGCACTTGCACCTGCTTCTCTCTTTCTCCTGCCGTTTCCAAGTCTTCTTCTACTACCTACCTAGCTATAGGTGAAGGAGATAACTTCTACGTACCTGCCATATCCTTCACATCTTCTGCCCCACAAGTTCATTCATAATCCTTTCTTCCTCTTGTTTTATCTAGCATTACCTTGCAATTTGTTAGTAACGACTGTGGACGTCAGTCAATGAAAAGAACGACAAATCATCTTAGAATTATTGTCCCCATCTTTCATAACGATACAAATTCGAATTGAATAACTTTCGGCTTTATTTTGAAAGACAAAGTCAAAGTTAATTGTATAGGGGCTTCTACCAGACAAACAAGAACGTTGATTGGCTCACATTGGTGAATTGTGAGGGGTGGGAATACAGAAAACAATAATAGGGAGTATTTTGGGTGGATTGGTACAAATGTCGACCACAAGAATCTCATCACCGAAAAGGTCACCCAAAAAATCGACTTTCGTCAAAACTGGAATTTTGAGCACCAAATCAACACCCAATCTCAACGCCTCCTATAATTTGGCATTACTACAAGCTTCAGGAGCTACACCCGTTCCTGCATATCCTTCCAACAACGGTCAAGGTTTTGCCTTAAATAATCCTAGGTCGCAACCGTCTCGACAAGTCTCACTTGCTTCCCTTACCTCAAATTCACTTGCGACAATCCCAGATGCAAGCAAGAGATACCCTCTTTCTACAGTTTTTGATGAGGATATGCCAACAGTAGGCAACATGCCACCATACACACCTGCTCGAGTTGGCGGTGGGCCGGAGGAACTAGAGGTTGGTGATATAGTCGATGTACCAGGTAACATGTATGGCATTGTCAAATTTGTTGGCAGCGTGCAAGGCAAAAAGGGTGTATTTGCTGGAGTAGAATTAAGTGAAATGTTTGCTTCAAAAGGAAAAAACAATGGAGATGTTGAAGGGTGAGCCATTCAAGGCATTTACGGTCTGCAGACAATGAACTGATTGATGCGATGCAGAATTCACTACTTCGACACAACAATCGACGGTGCTGGAATTTTTCTTCCAGTTAACAGGGCGACAAGACGTAGCACCCCTTCTTCGCACGATGAGTCATTTCCCCTTTCACCGGCTTCTCCATCGATGGGCAACAGGGCTGGGAGATTAGGATCCGAGTTAAATGGTCAACCAACACCCTCGTTACCAAGATTCAGTCAATCTGTTGGTCCAGGCAGAACAGCAAACCCATATGTTCAAAAGACACGATCATCCATGGCTACACCTATTACTTCAAGACCAGAGTCACCAGTTCGAAGAGCACCCAATGCTAACCCATCATCAAATACACCTGTACAAAGGGTTCCATCTCGATATGCAAGCCCTGCACAGGCAAACTTTGGACAGAGCGTTAGAGGAACACAAGATTCTAGAGATCCAAGTAAGAAAGTTGGTTATACCCCCCGAAATGGCTTGAAAACACCAGTACCTCCACGAAGTGTTTCCGCACTTGGAACGGGGAATAGACCTGCACCAATGAACTCGATGAATTACAGCGATGAAGAGACACCTCCTGCAGAGATTGCACGCACGGCAACAAACGGAAGCGTAGGCTCAGTCTCTTCCTTTAACGCGAAATTACGACCTGCATCAAGATCCGCATCGCGTACAACCTCCCGGGCTACTGACGACGAATTTGAGCGATTGAGAAGTCTGTTAGAAGATCGCGATAGGGAAATAAAAGAACAGGCTTCCATTATTGAAGACATGGAGAAAACTCTCAGCGAAGCACAATCATTGATGGAGAACAATAATGAGAACGCGAGTGGTAGACATAGTCGGGAAAGTGTGGATGACAAAGACGTAACACAGTTAAGGGCAATTATACGTGAAAAGAACGACAAAATCGCCATGCTGACTGCAGAGTTTGATCAGCATCGAGCTGATTTCAGAAGCACGATAGACACGCTCGAAATGGCCGGTGCGGAAACCGAGAGAGTATATGATGAGCGCATGCGTGCTCTTGTAATTGAGCTCGATACAATGCACGAGAATAGTCATGATGTCAAGCACGTTGCTGTACAACTGAAACAGCTAGAAGAGCTCGTTCAGGAGCTCGAGGAAGGTCTTGAAGATGCACGACGTGGTGAAGCCGAAGCTCGGGGTGAAGTTGAGTTCTTGCGTGGAGAGGTTGAAAGAACTCGATCTGAACTCCGTCGCGAGCGAGAGAAGACTGCCGAAGCTCTTAGTAACGCAAATTCTCCTGCGAGCGCAAGTGCGGGAACACATTCCAAAGAGATTGCGCAAAGAGATGACGAGATTCGTGGATTGAAAGCCATCATTCACTCGCTCAGTAGAGATGCCATACCTGATGGGAATCTCTCGGATCAGGACGCAACACCAAACATTTTACGACCTGGACTTAGTCGAAGCCGTACAGACAGCGCTTCAGTTTCTGAAGAGGAGCGCCGTATCCGGGAGAAGCTCGAACGAGAAGTGATTGAGCTCCGTGCTCTGGTAGAAAGCAAAGGCAATAAAGAAGAACAGATGGAGCGCGAGTTAGAGGGACTACGAAGGGGAAGTGTTGGCAATCCTACCACGCATCGTACTAGTGCCATGAGCAGTGGAACTGTGACTCAGGATAGAAATTCTCTCCAGGATACTAAGAGCACAGTTGAAAGCTGGCGAGAACGTGGAACCTCGGATGCTCACCGCAATAATCTGGAGACAATGCCTGAGAATGACGGCTACTCCTCTGCAGCTGAGGACTTCTGTGAATTGTGCGAAACCTCAGGTCATGATGTCCTACATTGCCCGATGTTTGGCCCCAACGGTAACAGCAGCAATTCTAAGGATGAGTCTCCTAAAGAGCATCGAACAGGAAAGGATGTTGTCATGGAGGGACTTAAATTATCACCCAAGCCATCCCAGGAAGAATACAAACCGGCACCGTTAGTGCCAGCCAAGAAATCGCCTGATGCATCGCCTATCAAAACTATTCCCAATCTCATGGAACCAGGAGCTGCACCAGGAAAGGAAAGTGGAGTAATTAATATGGATAAATGGTGCGGTGTATGTGAACGGGACGGACATGACAGTATTGATTGTCCTTTTGAGGATGCTTTTTAGGAGACTACTGTTCCAGATGTTTCAGGATAAGCTATCACAACGTATTTTCTTATTGCTTTTCTTTTTTAGTCACAGGCAAGGCCGCATTGCATTGCAGGAGTGCTATCCGTCTGCGATATACCCTCTCGGTTCTCTATTTCAAGTATACTTTTCATGCGACAAGTCAGGGAGAAGATGATGTTTTCACGAGGATTGGATGAGGTGAAACTGGGTTGAATTTTGGGGAGGGGAGGGGAGGTTAACATGAGTTGAATGGACGTAATGATCATGTAGTATACTTTGTCAAATTAATGATTCAAATGCAGCATTTGATTTTGGATGGAAGTGCTCATTTTTAGCATGTGAAATGTTCGTTATTAATTGATTACGTAGACGAAATTCATCATGATTGTAATTCCAGCTGGGACTGGTGAGATTATGAAGATTACTGATATGAATGTGTAGTGGGAGAGAGGGAGTTCTCAGTCGAGTATCAAGAAGAATCTCTTTCGTCGCCGGACGATCACTACTGCTATGAATCACTAGGAAAGGGGATTATACGCAGAGAAAAATTTGTTTCAAGTTTAATAACAGTGGTATATTCAGACAGCTTCCATAGCGCCGTCTTCAACGCCTATGATCTTTCCAGCCCACATAGTACAATAGATGCTCATTATGACTTTTCTACTCCACACGCAACTCTTACTAATTCCTCCAATTCTTCTAGCGTCATCTCCTTGATTCCAAAAACACTATTATGCACGCGCTCGAAATTCCCTCCGAAATCAAAACTCGAGTCCGAATCTGAGCTTGCGTCGGTGCGAATGTTCCATTCTTGACCGGGTGTGAGTGATTGGGCGATTGACAAAAGTTTTTCATGGGAGATGTCGATATCTTTGATGCGGATAGGTCGATTTGCCGTTTCGCGTGGGTGGGTGAGGATTCTCCGGACGGCTTTTGAAAGACTAGGGAGAGTGGTGAGGGAGATGGGGGTTGTTTTTGATTGGGGGCTGAGGGTCGCGGTGCGGGATTGGAAATCGAAGAAGAGGTTATTTTTGAGGGATAGTTCGAGGATGGGGTTGCTGAAGAGGAGGGTGTAGCTTAGAGAGGTGTGGGTGGCTTGCTCTTTGAGGTATTCCTCGATGGCGATTTTTTGGGCGAAGAGTTGCTTGCTGGCGGAGAGCGAGTGGATGCGCGGGGAATAGAAATCATAGCTGTATTCTGAGGGGAGGAATCGGTGCACGTGGGCTTGGATGCAGGCGTCTATGAGGAGTTTTTGGGTGGGGATGGCGCGGGGGGAGAGGACGGAAATCAGGGCGTCTTGGTGGGTTAGGGCGTGGGTTAGAGAGGGGAGAGAGGTGTAGTCGACTTGGATTACTTTGAGCGCGCGGGCGAATAGTGATTGGTAGGTGGTGGAATCACGGGTTAGGATTGTGATGTCGAAGAGTTCGGATTTGAGGAGCTCGGTGACGATTGCTTGGCCTACTGGGCCAGATGCCTGGGGGTTGTTATTTGAGAGGGATTATGGAGAAGAGAGATGGGAATGGGGATGGGAATGGGGACTAACGCCAGCTACAGCGACTTTTTTGACGGTTGTGTCGAATGGCATGATGAGGAGATCGCGACTTGAGTAGAAGTAATGGATACAATAATATAAACGCTTGTGGGATGGCAAGAAGAGAATTCAAGATAGAGAATAAAACTTGGGATACTTTCTTTTGCTTTTATACAATACATTTCTTGCAACTGGTCATGTCTGGTTGTGCAGAATATGGGCTGATGAAATCACACCAATGGGTGTTCCGATACCTCAACGTCCAAGAATCAGCACGCTTGGATTTGTAAATTGCATCGCTCTTGGCCGGATGGATATCAAGTTTATTAGGTGTGAACACTTTCGTAATGGTTCGATGGTTTTGCATTTTTCGATTTTTGTTTTCGCTTCCATATCTCAATGAATCTTGCTGGTCCAGGTGTTTTCATTCTCGAATCTAGGCGTGGACAGGGGGGTTGGAGTAGTAATCCGCGATGTGTCGATAGGTTTTTTCTACCTCACGTTTTCTCTATTGCTCACTGGCATGTTGTCTTGAGAAAGTTCAACGTTCAATGAGACAATAAGTTGGGGTTTCTATCTATCTTGCAGTTGTCGATTGATAGGTAGAACATATGCTAGAACCGATCAGGGATAGTGGAATAACAAGCTCCCAAAGCTCTTGCTCGCTTGCTGAGCACTACTTATCATCTACCTACCTAGGTAGTATCATCTAACATTCATTCATGACAGTGGTTTCCTATTCTGTTTCTTAAGATCTGAAATCTATAGTACCTTCCCAAAACGATTCAAAATGGCATTGATCTTTATTTACTCATCTCGTTGCATTTCTCTTCACTCATCCCACAATCTTCATCCCTCACAATTCATACCAGATTAGATCTTTGGAAGAAATAGTTGATATCTCCTCACTCGGTCTTTTGACCTGTTAATCATTCTTTGATTTTGGAAAGCAAAACTGAAAACATACGAAACTTCAATTTGGCAGTCTTGTTTGTACAAAAAAGCTTGCCGCCTACGAACTCGGATAATCATATTAACTTAAAGTCAATATGGCAGAGAATCCCAATGTTTTCGAGCCTTGGAATGACTCCGAGGAGGAACCCGGGTTGAATCAGCAGTCCAAGTCTACGTATACGCCTACGTATACACCTGCGTATACACCTGCGTCCAATCCCAATCCTGATACCAAAACAACTGTACCCTGTGGAGAGAAATTATCGAAGATTCGGAGCAGACATAAAAATCGTATTAATCGAGCCATCGAAGTTCATTTCAAGCATACGCCACTCAGTGTACTGAAGTTTAGCAGGGAAAAGGCTCCATATGATCGTACCAGGACTTTATCCTTAGAATACGAAGCTGTTCATGCCGATGATACAACTCCTTATCTTAGTGTTTGTCCTGCTTCTCTTTATGATAGTAGAGTTGGTGCATTTGGAAATATTTTTGACCTTACAAATGGAATCGCCTGCATTGAAGGACCCTCTGAGAGCCCGTACGCCGGAGGTATCTTCTTTCTGCACATTTATTTTCCTGTTCAATGGCCTAAACGGCCTATGAAAGTGCGCTTTTTTGACACAGATTTATCACCCCAACTTCAGTGCAGATGAAGATTTCCGCCTGCCCAGCAATACAGCTGAATGGCTTACGGAGAATTCTTTACAGAATGTTCTTTTGACGATATTCTCACTGCTTAGCGAACCCGAGCTGGATGAGGATTTTATACCTGAAATTGCGAAGGAATATATCGATGATTACAATGGGTCTTCGAAAAGGCAAAAACTTTCCACAATCGAACATGCGTCGAAGATGAGATTAGATGTGAGGAAATTAGTGACAGATTGGATACAAGACTACGTGACCTTTGATTACGCAGTTGCTGCATGTCATAAGGCTCTCTTGCTATGGCGTCATAACACATGGGAAGGATTACCAAAAGATGGTAGCCACGAGGAAGTCAGTTTACAATGCATTATACCAGACTCTGCTATAGCCACCATATCTCAGAACCTGAGGAGATTGTGTACTAGCGAAATCGGACTTGACGAACTGGACTTGAAGGAATGGGGTAGACGTGAGATGTATTTAAGAGATCATTCTCAGTCATCGCTTGGAATACACTGGTTGTAGTGTGGCTCAAGCTTCAAGATGAAAAGAGAGGTATTGAAAACGACGATTATATCCTTCCTGGTGCAGCTTCAAATGATATTGTCGAAGCATGCCAGCTTATGCTTAGGCGGTGGCGTGATAAAGTATGGGAAGCGTACCCAGAGGATACTTTCAAGGACCGTGAATCTGTCATGCCAGATTCTGCTATCGTCACCATATCTAACAACCTGGAAAAAATAGGCTCTGGTCATATCAAAATTGAGCATCTGGACTTGTGGCAATGGAATTACAGCACGGAATTTCTAGCTGATGACAATGAATTTTGTCTTCGGAAATTCCTGCAAAAGTTGTGGGACGGCCACGTCAAGGCAAGAGACGAAACTACAAATACAGCTGCTCCAGAGGACGGTCATAACTCAAGGTCTGAAGGACCGAAGTCTCCCCGGAGACTTCAGCTTGGTCTCGAGTCCGAACAGAAACCATCGTCTATCAGATGGGTTGGTGTCCGTTCTGGTAATATTAAAAGCTCAAGGTCCAAGCAGGAAGCACGAGTTACAAAAAGTGAAGCGAGTACCAGGGTTAAGAAGCCAAAGTTCAAGCGGAATCTTAAAATCACAAGAGAGGCTCCTAATGCCGAAGCTAGCAGCTCAAATTCTGTTCGGGGAGCAGAAATTGCAGAAGATGGACTCGACTCAGAGACTAGAAGCCCAAACTCTAATACGGGACCACAAATTACAAATCCCGATCTTGATCCCATCATACGAGATTTGAAGTCTAAAGTTGAAGAGCTAAACCTAAACTTATCAATTTTGATAGATGATCTCAGTTCCATTTCTGAAGAGGCCAACAAGCGTCTCAAGGAAAGCAGTAAAGGGAAGGGCTCACAAACTACAAAAAGCGATCTTGATCCCGACATGCAAGATTTGAAGTCTGAAATTGAAATGACAAACTTCACCTTACCAATTTCGGTAGATGTTATCCGTTCCACCGCTGAAGAGCTAAACATACCAATGTCGGAAGATGAACTCATTTCCTTCGCTGAAGAGTTCAACAGTTGGTTCGAGTAAGGCAGTAAAGGCAAGGGCTCTGTTACAAAGTAAATAAAGATTTCCGAGCAACTTGCGTAATGATGATATACCATCATGATCACCATAACCTCGGTAGAACATGGAACAACATGTCTATTTTGACCCAAACAGACTTCTTTGCACAGAAACAGCTACATTGATAGTAACAATTCGATAAGGACATTCTGTCCCAGGGATAAGATCGAATATTTCTGTATGGACAAATCGGACTATGCGAAAATCCGACACTCGATCATTAAACTTTATATTTCTTAATCCTTTGTATTTTTTTTTGAAGCGCAGTATTGTAAATTTCCCTGGGTATGAGCAAGTTTGAGAATCAAACTAATCCAGGTCTCAGCAGCATCGAACTCCTCGCCTGCAGCTCGTCTTGAGAAACCAGCTGTACAGCCCGGGCTCTTGAAGGATGAGTTATGTCCGCAGAACACTCGTTCTTCATTCATAACTCTTCCTAATGTTTGAGCGGCTATCATAATTTCCTGCAAAGATACTGGAGTTACCCGATCATCTTCACGTATCAAATAGACTGGTGGGATCATCAAACGGGCAGCCGAAGTAGCTTTTGTTAGGGAACCGGCCACAATTTGTAGTTTTAGCTTGGCTTCGTAATCCCTAGCCATTGTATCATTAAGATCATGGTAGTATTTCTGTCTGGCGTTTCTTGCTGGGAGGAAACTATCTTGATAATCAGTATTAATGTTATAGTCCACTTCTATAGCATTCAAATCAAAAACACTCGCTTTCACATTACTAGCATGGCTGCTCCCACCAGTGATTTCCCGAAGACTAGTATCTTTAGGAACCGCAAACGCACATAAGAAAGCTAATCCCACCATCCTCCAACTTTTCCTTTTAATGTGATTCTTCTCAGTAATGCTCATCTCATCAAGAGCACTTGCCATAGGTGCTGCACCCAGGAATGACTACATACTATAATTTCTTTCCCAGCGTCGATCTCTTGCTGTACGTCATTTCTAATAGTGTTAATATCGTCTGTGAAATCAGTGGTGGGGATGGTTCCACTTGTGGAGAGAATGTCGATGGGTATACATGGATGATTGAGAGATTCGAGAATCCTGGGTACTTGGGAGAAAATAGAGGGGTGGTGTCAGGCGCTGTGGAGGAATGTTAGTGTGGGTGGTATGTTGGGTCGGAATGATGGGGTTTGGGATGATGGTGCGGGTGTTAATATGGTACCTATGTATTTGCAAGAGAAGATTGTAGAAGGGAGGGGGTGGCGGTTGATTAATGGTGTGTGGAGTTTAGAGGCTTATAGGCTAGGTTAAGTGATGATGAGTATACGTGTATTTATATATGTGGATAGAGAAAGTGTGGGAGAGAAATGCAGTCGAAGGATTTGAATTTCTCGAATAGACTACAATCCAGACTGTCAGAAACACTGAGATGGATGGTGGAGTGAGATGAGGTGAGGTGAAATCGTTAGCGAGGGGTGAATCACATATACCCACACACAAGTGTATTGACTTCTGCAAGGCAATCTTTGGCTGATATGGCTCACGAGAAGTTGTAGGATGTAAGTATTTGTTTCTAGGGGTTCCTGATGCTTCAACGGATGTTAATCGCTTAGCGAGATTGAATGCGTGGCGCGTACTGGGTGTTGGGATTTTACCTATTGAATTGCACTTGCTGTGCGAGCTCATGAGAGGTTGTTAGTGCGTACGACGTTATTTTGCAGGGGCATTTTGTATATTTTAATAGTCTTATCAATGGAATGATTCATTTTCTGAAATAATTGGATTATATACGTGGGCATGAGTTTTGGAAGTTGTGAAGCGTTGACATCCGTGCAACTGTCCTCTTGAACGTCTAGATAGCTTGGCGTCACCTAGTAGTACCTAGTATCGAATAGGGTATTACATCAAAGAATATTTGATAGGAGCACCTACATAGATCGTACTACCAGCGAGACAAATCCCTTGTCACTCCAATGTTATCTCCATATTAGTTTCAACAAGTGTACAAAATCAAATGATAAATTTTGTCCGAATTAGATTAATAATATGAGTCACTCATCGTGCTCAAAAGCACAAAAAACCCCTCCTCAAACACGGCCCACACTTATTTGTCTGATCCTTAGCAGGTATTCCGCCGCTTCATGTGTCTTATTTCCAATTCCACTTCTTTTTATGTTCGCTGCTGGCTGCTAATGAACCATTGCTGCTATCGCATTGTGTGAATGGAGGAGACTCGGAGCATTTCTTCTCACCGAATCAGGAACCAAAGGAAGTAAGACACGATCTGCGGGATCCGCGGGACAAATCAAAGCCAAATGTGATGAGCTTGATGTTGTTCTTGGATTATTTGCTAAAGAGACTTCGGATGAGCGTCTTGAGAATCTTGGCGCGGTAACTCGGATCGGAGAAGAGTTCGGTATGCTACTATTCTGCCAATCTTATGTCTGGGAGCTGGATTGGTCTTTAAATTCAGAAGACAATGGTTAAAAACATCGTCGCTCTACACCTCGCTTCAAGATTCAGTAACTAGTAAGCCGGATCGAGCGCACAAAATTAGCAAATTAGACTCAGACGATAAGCTCATCCGGAGGTAGTCAACTTGGTCAACTAAAAGTCCCGGAAAGCAACGCAACTTGGCCCGGGATGCCAACAATATGAGTGAAAACTATTCTAAAGGATTAAACAACCCTCATTCAGATACTTCATCGGATCAAACCAAGTACAGTGTTGGATACAATCGACCATTCACACGGAAGTCCTTGGCCGGGAACAGTGGGAAACCTTTATCGGGCAATTATGTTGGGAATGGTGCAGTTGACCTCGTGACAATGCACCCCGAGGCTGGATCCCCATATCCGGTATACAAAAAAGCAGGACGAAGTCGAGATATTCTCCATGGAGGTACCATCGAAAGGGCAAGCAAAGCAGGCGGGGTACGAAGGGGTGATGACAAGACACAAAGAATTGCCAGAGTAGTAGTTTTCCCAGCTTTTTTGAAAACGATAGATGAGCATGGGCGAAAAGTTTCAGATGCTACTAGGCTGTCAAAGCCGGAGCTGGCTAGGTGGCTAGGTGGCTAGGTGGCTTGAAGAATCTTGATTGTGTAGCGAAGACCGGCGTTATCGTTGAAAACGATGACAAAACGTATTTCGTTTATTTTATCATGCATTGCATTTTGTTCTAGATTGCAGAATAATCTTATGATTCAAAGAATGTTTACCGTCAAGCATTAGCATTATGGCAATTCGATTGACTGCCAATGAAGTGACAAATTAGAAAGGTATATGAGAGATACTGTATACTCAAAATAGAGGTGCTCGTGTCATGATAAAAATGAGTACCTGGCCCACTAGCCAGCTCCCTGCTGTGACACCAAAAAACAGATTCATTCCGGGACCCTCTGTAGTCATTTTCCTACGATTTCAAGAATGATAGGGTTTTGCCTTGCAATGCGTGTTTTTGACTAGGGCTTCGAAGAATATGCGAGTCTCCCAATTGTATTGTCTCAATATGAGATTGCCCCAAAATCATTGAGCTTTTGCCTCTCAATGCACGTTGTTTGCTGGGACTTCGAAGAGTTTGCGAGTCCCCTGATTCTATTACCTCGACATAGGATGGTGAAGCAGCTGGTCTCGTCATTGTTTCCATCTTTGAAATTACCCCCAGCAAGCTTGCGTGTGCTGTATTGAAGTATACCTGTCGTACCCTGAAGAGCTCTTTCCCCTTCATAACCCACCTGAAACGCAGCGAAATAGGTATAGAATCATTGATTTCACTGGCAATATGGTATGCTACAATAATTTGACCTATCTCCAGTACTCCTTTCTCCATCCTTTCAATAATACCGTCGATGTAAGAGCGATCGCTCGACGCAACTTCACTGTTCATCTCGGCAAACTTGTCGGTTCGTAACTCCCGGGCACGATTGAGGTCGCAGTCCACCACTACAAGGAAGTCAAGACAAATCCTCAAGTCTTTATCAACATCTTGCAGTCGAGAAATATCAAGGGCAACGTGGAATACGCCATTCAATACCGACAGCGCAGTGCCGGCAACCTCAAGAGAGGCCATTGTACAGCGTTTAACTTTGTAACCATCTAAAGGTTGGGAAGATGGAGAAGACGGAAGATTACTGATCTTATTCCCACTTCATGCATTCTCCTCAATAACTATTAAATAGCCTGTCCTGTTGGTGAGTTTGACCCAACCCAAGAACATCATCTGCTATCACGATAAACATATACACCATATCTTGAAATCTATAAAATCAGAATCAAGCAAGACCAAATTATGTCATGTTATTATACAAGCAGAAAAATTCTACAATATGTGGTTATAAAAATTCATTCTGATTGATTAAAGGATAACCAGGGTTTCTTGGAGTAGCCCCGTGGGATGTAACGATCTTAGGGAAAAACACTAGTCAGCATATCGTTCTTGTTCGCTTGTACAGTTAGATGTAATACATATATGCATATAAAATCTGTATATATCAAGTGAGATGAGAATTCAAATAGTATAATTTTTTCTTTTTTATTTGATGATAGAGATAGATTTTTTTTTTAAAAAAACATACATAGAAAGCAGACTATTTCTGGTTAATGACTTATCTTATTTAAAAAACGAATTCCTATTATATATTTATTTCGAGTACAAAAACATTTTCCATAAATCAATACTCGCATGAGTTCTCAATTGAGCTCCTATATCTCCTTTCGTTCTCGCGTACACGATAGCTCTGTACTGTCATCGACATATTCTACATCTTTCGTTTCACCTTGGTCTGATTATTTCCACAGCATTCGTACCCAACATCATTCAAATATAATGAGTAATCGGTATCCTCCAAGTGGCACTGATGGTATAACTTTTTTGAAATTCATTTGGGTCTTGGTAGCTCGGCATTGTGGCATTGCTGATATGATTCTTTGTTTCTCAAGACTCGCGCATCAAAGAATCGTGACAAAATCTCCATGCCATAAACAAAAACTTTGCTTTCTGTCGGGGATAATATCATCCCCGACAAATCAGTCCTTTTCTTTCATTCTAGAATATTTCTTCTTCTATACTTCATCAAGCGTAGGTCATTTTCGTTCTTTGTCTGTATACATTTCCTATTAGTCAAGTGGCCAAAATACATATTTCGGAAAGCGCCTATGCCACTTTTCTCAAATCAAAATCACTCCGTTTGCGTTCGTTTTCAGTGTCATTATTCATGGCGTACCAATCGCCATCTAAGGAGCAGTTTCGGGCTACATTGCCACCGACTCCTTCAACAGATAGGCATTCTCTTTCGCACTCGAGATCTCAATCTCAACTAGAGACAAGCGCTCGCGCAAAATTAGGACCATGGGCACAGTGGGGTCATACATCTGCTTCTTTGAGTGGCTTGGAAACTATGAAACGGCCTCAATTGAAACATAGTCAAACTACGGGAGATAAGTTGCGCTTCAACAGGGATCCACTCTCCAACAGAGATCCACTGCCAGCAATTCCTGGCGTTCTAGCGAAGAAGTTGGGCAGGGGGAGTAGGAGGCTCGACGGGAGGTTGAATGAGTATGGAGAACCTGTTCCAAAACCTTGTATGGATATTTCTGTCTCAAAAAGTCACGATGATGATATTGAGGAAAGCGAAGATTTTCGGAGGGTGACGAGGATTTATTCTTCGCCCGAAACTAGTACATTGCCTCCACCCCCCGATCCACCCTTAACAAAGTCGGCAACGAAGGTGATGCAGAGAACAGGCTACGACCCGACTATGGAAATAAGAGAAGGAAGGAGTCGACAGTCATCGTTAGCTACGGACAACTCTGACAGTTCTGGTAGCATTTACAGCCAAGAAGATGATATAAATTCACACATGGCTCACCAGAGCCAAACTATTGGTTCTGCTCCTGTGTCTCCGATGCAGCGGGATGAGGGAAGCTCGTACTTCTCCAACTACATACCTAGTAATGCATCGAGCCTGGCCACGTCTTCACCGAGATCATTAGTAATATCGTCAGAATATAAAGAACGAGTGTCAAGGTTTATGCAAGGTCATTTAGAAGATCTCAATACTAGCCAAGATCTGTCATACACTAGTGGTCTCGAGAACATGATAGATCAAGGAGTGCCGTACGATTATCAGAATGGGCGAGAATATCCACTCAGACATAAGGCTCACAACGATGATGTCGCGTTAATGCCACCACCACTCTCATTGCCAACAAAGAGAAGTCGACAAAGCTATTTCTGCGAAAGCCCAGATTATTGGGAGCCACGAACCCCGGTTGCTCCATTTTTGGGTAGCGAGGAGCAGCAGAGTTTGCATAGACCCTCTGCAGTCTCACATACATCATCCATGGCACCACCGAACATAATAATACCAGAATCGAATAAGCCTCGAAAGAGAGATTTCTCAAGTGGTCAACACCCCCTGAAGAGTCCTTTTCCATTTCTTTCAACTAATAAGCTACCGGATTCTCCAAAAGCGACAGGTCCAACAGGGTCATTGGGGAAATATTATCGGGTGCTTTAAAACGGCTTTCCGGAAGCACGAAGATGGCGCCAACAGAAGGCAATGAAATAATCTCCAATGCTGGTAGAAGTGCTACAGGCCCAGATACGCCCATGCCAAAAAAATCGGGATTCATGGGGATTAAAGGGGCTCCAGATGTGATACAGAAAGGGAATGAGCATTTTCATGGAGTGGTAGAGAAGGTAAGATTGAAAGTCAATAAAAAGGAGAGGAGGAGAAGGGAATTGAAGAAGCAAATACTGGTTGTTGGGATTATGGATCAGACACCAGGTTAGTCACTAATCTCCATGAGTGATTCTGGCAAGGACAATACTAATTGCTTTTCTGAATAGACGGACGAACATCTGAATGGCTTTGATCTGAACATAAAGTTATAAAATGTGGGAGAAAGCAATGCACAAGTCCTCTTCAGGGCTTCAAATAGACTGCAGATTTGGGGAGCTAGCCTAGGCTGGAGTACTGTTTGTAGAATGGTATGGCTAACGGTATGCTTTCAAGAAGGTCAAATAGAGGCCGATTTCCTGTTGCACACGTATCAAATGTGTATTTGAATACCATGTAATAATAATTACTCTCATTCGAGTCGAAGAAGCGTGTTTTCTTGGACGAGAATCGTGATTCTGTTGCGTGAATATCACTGGCCAATGTTTGATAAGGAATGTGATGCACATAGTCGGTCACCATCCAGTAATTGCCGGCTATTGTACAACTTCCGACTCGATATAGACTGAAACCATTGCTTTTTTTGGACGATCTATTCGACGAATGAATCCACCGCCGACGAATCATTCTCTTCTCATAACGTAAACAATGTACCTGCAGCTTCAACCCCGCATCTTTGTATGACCCTTACAAAGGCTTGGAATACCATATAACTTCGTATTTGCTGTGCTCATGACTTTGACATCTTGGTTGATACCCTTCAGCTTGTCTTCCTCTTTGATACATCAACGACCTACTTTGAATCAAGTTTGCGTTGGCTGTGGAAGTCCGTGAATGATGTCGAGGTGAGTTGTTGATCTACCATATAACCCCTTTCACGTGCCACGTGCCACTGGATTTACTCGTAATGTTTCGCGGCTTCCAACCTCCACATTTCCCCCCGCGCTTTCCTAAAGCTTACCCCTGTTGGAACTCCACTTCTACGTAACAAGCGGCGTAGTAGAAGAGTTACCACTTCCCGCGGCTGAGCTTCTACTATTTACTACCTATCTGCTCTTTACAACTGACAATTGCTTTGTTTTCTCAGTTCATCATCCCATCTCGAATCCATCAATAAATTCATCCAATTGCCAATTATGGGTGGTGAAACTATACTAAAGCCAGAGCTCAAGAGCTCATATCCTGTTAGGTCTGAAGGACCTAAGGGTAAATTGATATCTAATCTCTACAAAGATCGAATTGGTCAATTCTATGCTGGCGGACAATATGAAGGACACAACTTGCGAGCGTGGGTCTTTTCAATTCTCTGATTTATCGCATATGCTAATTGATTCTTGTTAATAGAATGTTGAACGAAGGGGTCGCATCTGGAGAACCGCACATCAAACTTTCGGTCTGGGACGCTCCGGACCTTTCTCGACCCACTTTCAAAGATGCCACAAGCCATGAATTTAGATCAACACACATTGGAGAAGCTTTCGGTCCTTCGTGGTCGACCCATTGGTTCAAAGTACGAATAACCGTCCCGTCGGAATTTCAGAAAAAGGACCTTTTGGAGTTACATTGGGATGCCAACAATGAAGGAATGGTATGGACCGAGGATGGCAACCCTCTTCAGGGATTGACTGGAGGTGGCGAGAGAGTTGAATGGGTCTTGCCGGACAATTTCCGCGACGGAAAGGAACACACAATCTATATTGAGATGGGTGAGATAGAGACAAGACATATGGATCATACACTTCTAAATGCTAATATCAAAACTAGCCTGCAACGGAATGTTCGGTAATGCTCCAGGTGGCGATTCCATCCAACCCCCGAACCCGAATAAATATTTCCAACTGTCAAAGGCCGAGATTGTGGCTGTAAACGTTGAAGCCCGAGCTTTATGGATTGATATCTGGGAAATCAATGATGCTGCTAGAGAATTTCCATCGGACTCGTGGGAACAACATAAAGCATTGAGGGTTGCAAATGATATAATTGATGCTTTCGAGTTGGGAAACCAAGATTCAATTATTAAAGGCCGAAAAATTGCACAAGAATATCTGGGTGAAAACATCAACTCATCTGCGGTTTATGAGACTGGCACAAAGCCTATTGTTTATGGTATCGGCCATTGTCATATTGACACCTGTTGGCTTTGGCCATGGGCCGAGACCAAAAGAAAAGTTGCTAGGTCTTGGTCAAATCAATGTGACCTTATGGATCGTTACCCCGAGCATCGATTTGCTGTCTCCCAAGCTCAACAGTATAAATGGTTGAAGCAGTACTATCCATACGTGTTTGATCGGGTTAAGGAAAAGGTCAAACAAGGAAAATTCCAACCTGTCGGAGGCAGTTGGGTTGAGCATGACACTAATCTGCCCAGTGGTGAATCCCTTGTGCGTCAATTTTTGTATGGTCAAAGGTTCTTTGAAAGTAACTTCGGAGAGAGATCCAAGACATTTTGGCTACCAGATACTTTTGGTTACTCGAGTCAACTTCCTCAGCTGTGTCGCCTCGCAGGAATGAAACGCTTCTTCACTCAAAAGCTCAGCTGGAACAACATTAACAATTTCCCACATACCACATTTAATTGGGTATCTCTAGATGGTAGCCAGGTCATTTGTCACATGGCACCTTCCGAGACATACACTGCAAATGCTGATTTCGGTGATGTGAGAAGATCAGTAACACAGCACAAATCTATGGATCAAGATGAGACGTCACTTCTTGTCTTTGGAAAGGGTGATGGTGGTGGAGGACCAACGTGGCAGATGATTGAGAAGCTCAGACGTCTTCGTGGAATGAGCGACACTACTGGACTTATACCTAGAGTTCATATGGGTGACTCTGTTGACGATTTCTTTGATCGCTTGGAGGGAAGGGTATCTGAAGGTCTAGACTTAGTGACCTGGTACGGTGAATTATATTTGAGCTTCACCGTGGACCTACACGTAAGTTTCATTCTATTAGTATCACACTATTATGCTGACTCTCCCCAGAACGCAAGCAAACAACAAGCGTAATAACAGAAATTCTGAAATTATGCTACACAATATTGAACTTCTCTCAACAATTGCTAGTCTCAAAAGTAAGGACTTTAAGTATCCAAAAGAGGATATTGACGATATGTGGGAGGCTGTATTGTTGTGTCAGTTCCATGACTGCCTACCAGGATCATCTATTGAGATGTGTTACGACGACAGTGATGAGGTATGTGATTTGCACTAGCTTTAGCTTCATACAATACTGACACATGATAGCTATATGCCAAGGTATTTAAGACTGGTGAGAAGATTCTCAAAGAGCTTTACAAGACTCTAGGTGTAGGCCAAGCCGAAGACTCGTCCAAGGATGGCGATCTTGTGGCCCTGAACACGATGCCATGGCACAGAAGAGAGATCGTGCCACTTGGCGATAATACAGCCGGAGTTGCTTGTGGACAAGGGAGTCTCTTGAATATTAAGACTTTCAAGATTGCAGAGACACCCGAAGTGACTGTCAAAGAAGTCAGAGAGGGCGTTTTTGTGCTACAAAACGAACAGCTCAAAGTCCAAGTCGAAGGCGGCGCAATTACTTCTCTGTATGATCTACAAGCTGAGAGAGAAATAGTAGTCGAAGGAGGTAAAGCCAATCAGCTTGTCATATTTGATGATAAACCACTTTATTGGCAAGCTTGGGATGTGGAAGTTTTCCACTTGGATTCTCGCAAGGAGTTGCCCGCAGGAAATACTAAGATTGTGCAGAGTGATGCCCACAGAGTCAGTGTAATGACTGAGACTAAGATCAGCAAAGACAGCTGGATAAAGACTCATATCAGTTTATCAGCCGCATTCAAGGGTCAGCAATCTTATGTTGAAATGGAAAGCGAAGTTGAATGGAGGGAAAGTATGAAATTCCTCAAGGTTGAATTCCCAGTTGATATTCGAAACACGGAGGCATCCTATGAGACACAATTCGGTATCGTCAAACGACCTACTCACTATAACACTACGTAAGTTTTGACATCATTTGTAATCGGAGTACATAACTAACTGATTTTAAATAGCTGGGATATGGCCAAGTTCGAAGTATGCTGTCACAAATTCGCCGATCTTTCAGAGAATCAATATGGTGTCTCCATTCTGAATGATAGCAAATATGGCTTTGCTACTTGTGGCAATGTGATGCGCTTATCACTTCTTCGAGCCCCTAAAGCTCCAGATGCACATGCAGATATGGGTCGTCACCACATTCGTTGGGCTATTCTGCCTCATCAAGGAGGTCTTGGCTCAACTACCGTTCGGACGGCATTTAACTTCAACAATCCATTGAAGCTTTGCAAGGCTTCGAAGGGTGTTCAAACCAACACATTTGATAGTCCAATCAAACTTACGGGAGACCCGTCATTGATCCTAGATACTGTTAAGCGTGGTGAAGATGATGAGGATGTCAGCCGTGGTGAATTAGCCAAGAGAAAGGGCCAAAGTGTTATTTTGAGAATCTACGATAGTTTAGGTGGAACTAGTAAGGGAACAATTGAGACGACCCTGGATGTGAAGAGGGTTTGGAAGACCAATGTGTTGAGGATGATGAAGAAGAGAACTTGAGATCAAGGAAGGAAAGGTCTCCATCACATTGAAGCCCTTCGAGGTTGGCACATTCAGATTGCAGTTGTAGGTTCGGGTTATTAAGTCAGCGAGATGGCCTGGAATGAGTAGACTCGGGAATGATGATGGGATGATGATGGGATCGTACAAATTAGCAACCATGTATTATGATAGGTTCTTTCCTTGGTATATTAAAATCACAACAAATTTCATATACCTTTCATTTTGCAAAAGAAAAGAGAGTGTTCAGCTTGTTCACTTTTATCCACCTACATAATTATTCACAGTCCTTGCCCACATGTACATGTGTGTTGATGGCAGCATTAAAGAACATTCTCCATGGAACAAAGATAGAGTCACAGAGTATGATTAGACAAAGGGAAGCAAAGATGAGAAATAAAAGTACTTGCTTGCAGGAAGTATGATATCGTAGAAAGAAGAATACCAATGGTATTTTACGGGTACTAAAGCGATATTTAAGACATTTCAGCAATGTGAGGCTCATATAAGTGATGAGAGAGAGTTTATAATGTGGAATAGGCTGTCTTTACGAAACTCTTCTATGTATGGTCATTTCAAGAATCTAGATCATTTTAGTGCGTGCAGTTTGAAGCATTACAATGATGAGACTTAAGTTGTTATACCTAGGTAGGTATGTAACGAACGATAGAATGGGCACCGGGAGATATAGTCCAGTCCAACACAAGAAATCTTTTGGAACGTATTTTCAAATCTCATTTCATCTCATCCCACGATCCTCATCATCATAAGTTAACCATATCGCTATCATGCTTCATAAAAATAGTATACACAAACGCCTTTCAACAATAAACAGGGATTTGTTCTCCCAACATTTCGCTTTCATTTTGCGCTCATCCCAACCAATGTTCCAAGGCCCATCATCCATTCATCCATCCATTCATTCCATTACATCTTAACATCGTCATCCTCACCCAAATCATCCATATGTTCCCGAGCCCACGGACTCCTCTTCCTGAGATCTCTCCCCCATCTCCCCAACACGAACGGAATGGGCATTAACAGAATCGCCGCAAACCCCAAGACACTGCCCGCCCAATGCACACCCAATCCATCAAACATCTGCGTCCCAAACAAGGGAAACGTCCCGCCGATAATATTCCGCGCAAAACACACGCCGGCCAACGCACTCGCCGCATACACTTTATACGTATCTTCGATATACATAAACGTCATTTGGATGATGGTGTAGAAAGACCAGCCATAGAATGCCGATGCGATGATCGGCACAATCCAGTGTACGGAACCGGGTTGGGCGGACCAGGCAAACCAGAAGAGAGAGATGGGGAAGACGACGGAGCCCACCATGCTGAGTTGCACGCGCGCTTCGGGGATATTCCGGATTCTTCCATTTGGGGATGTGATCTTGCGGAGATAGTAGCGTTCTTGCCAGATGTGGGTGACGGGACCCAGGAGCGCCCCAACGCACACGCCTAGGTTTGCGAGACCGGTTTGGATGGTGTTGAAACCGTAGCCATCGGAGAAGACGACGGTGAAGGCTCCGTTGAAGAGAAATGCAATGCCGAAGAGATATCCGTTGTAAGCCGCAGTGAATAGGATGACGGGTTCGGTAAAGAGTAGACGAAATGGACGAGTGAGAGCGGTAGCGAATACTTGGGTGGCGGGTTGCGTACGCATGTCCAGTGGAACGTCAAGATTTTGATTCCCGGTTTCTTTGCGGAGACGAGCTGCGCGACGACGGAGGAGCACGGAGTGTCGAGTTTCCTTGAGTGAGACACATAGGAGGAGGAAAAATCCGCCGGTGGCTCCGCACATACCCCAGAGAACACCGTGGAGACCGTGTAGTTGGGCGATGAAAGAGAAGACGAAGACTCCACTTGCAGAGCCGCCGGCTGAGGTTACAGTGTAGACTGCTAAGGGCATACCAGTATGTTCGTGATGGAACATATCGGCGATCGTTCCTCCAATGTTTGCTGAAAGTTGTTAGTTCGTATACAATGCTTGAGGATTTGCAACATAGTACTTACTGATTGATGCAGAGGCAAAGAAGCCCGTGATAAACCTCAAGATAATGAATCCGGGGACATCATCTACCAAAGCAGTACCGATTAAGAGCAATGTAGTGATGAAGAAATTGGCCAGATATACAGGAGTTCTTCCATAGTACTCGCTCAGAGGTGCTAAAAGCATAGGTCCAAATCCCAAACCAAGCACATAGCAAACCAAAGGAAGTGTAGCGACTTCAGCTGAAGTACCGAATCTCTCCTCAAATTCAGGGATTGCAGGTGAGTAACCTGAAGCTATCCTGAAGAGCGAACATTAGCATTCTGTGTAACCGCAATGGTCATTGGACAATTTTACCAGAGACAACTAAAATTCGCAATTGTCAAAGATAGAACAATCGACCATTTTCTCAGCGAAGTCCAATTGAGAGGATTTTCTGGATCGTTTGGGACGAATTCAACCAAATCCGCATCCTGCTCTATGTTTTCTCGACGATCTTCGTGTCGAATTTTGTCCTCTACCTTTTCGACATCAGTATCACTTGGAGTGGAAGGAGGAAGATCGCGAATCTCTGATTGTCTCATGGTTCTCATTTGCTCAATGAGAAAACGTGTGAAGTTGGGATCAAATTATACCAAGCTTTTGCTAGGGTATCGATGGGCATTGGCATTTTATAGGGAAAGACATGATTGATCTATGGAAATCCACCTAATGCAGGGGAATTAAATCAAGAAACAGGATATCCCCAATTACCCCACAAGGAACGGATATCCCGTGCCGGTAAAAAGCTTGCCACTTACGACATTGATCTATCTGCCGTTATATGATGAATTCGAGAAATGAGTTTACATACTGATTCTTAGATCCATGGGGAAATCGGGTCCGAGATTCTAACAGCAAATATCTCGTCTCATGTTACCTACTTTTCTTTAACTTTCATCGTATCATCGTGTGCAAATCGTTGATGCGGCTACTTTTAGTGCTTGATCATGAGTATCGATGGACGGCTCGACACTTCCGTAATCTTTCTCAAGATTGAACTTCATGACAGATTATTTTTCGGAGAGGAAAGTTGTTAGGTACGTTGTTGTTGTTGTTGTTGTAAGAATCTCTGTCTCAAAAGCATGCGGGGCCTAGATATCCTACGGCCTGTCTAAGGGTTGTTTGATTGTATTGAGAATTTCCTTGGTGGAAAAAGTTGGTTAGATCTTTGATGGCTAGCGAGTCGCGGATAGCCAATGCTGCCCTAGTATTAAACCGTGCCAAGTTGAGACCTGAGGAGTGCCGGAGTACAATATAATATGGAATTCGTTAGACTGCTTCGTCACTAATTTCCAGTGAAAATTAGACTTTTGAGCATAGATGCATTGGCATTTCTATAGCCTTTCCCCTCATAAGACCCCAATATTGAAAGACTCCGGCTTCTCTACCGGCAAACAAATAGAATAAAAAACTGTCACTCCAGCGTATAGTGCCAACTGAGCTTGTAATTGATTCGTATTACACAAAGCAGTTGCTAGTGGAGAGCTCGGTGAGTTCGGATTTGAGTCATTTAAGAAATGGTTGAACAGAGCATACACGATATGATATCTACATGCGTCTCGCCTAGAACCCCACAGAGAGAAAATCTTGAAATATGTACTAGGTATACATATATGGAGCGGAACTAGTCAATGTGCTCCAATTACTTGGAATGGGGAGATGGACAATGGACATATATTCGACTAAGAGTGAAGTAGTGGTTCTGCTCCGAATATCAACCGCTTTCGGTCCGAAAGACTAAATTCTGCAACGATGGCCACCCGCAATATCCATCAAATCTCGTGGGGTTGTTTTGGGGGAAAATCAATCAAGCTCCAAAGATTCCCACATATTCCCACACCGAAAGAATGACCCCAAGGAATGAAATCATTTGAGTCGTCGTGGAGAGTAGGGTTGAGCCATTCGATGATCGGTGATTTATGATCATGCATCTGTAGAGGGGAGATCATGTCCGTTTTTGTATTGAGTTGTGTGACAAGCGAGAATAGATCAATATAATTCCCTCGTTCGCCTACCACTTCGTGAGCACCCTAATTATTATTGTTAGCATCGGTACTTGTTTTGAGACCAGTTGGACTTCTCTCTCATACAATCGCACTAGTTACGTGTCAGTATTAACATCTACAACCATCAATTGCATGGCGACCTGCTGTGGTTAAAGTTGATCCCTCATTATGGACCGTGCAGTATCCTCCATTGCAGATCTTGCATCTCAACTGAGTCTTCTGTATACATTCGTGACACTACGACGCCATTAGCGAATAATCCCATAACCACTTCTCGTGTTGTCTTACATTGAGTCCACAAAATAAGCAGCTTTTTGAGACGCCAAACTATGAGTTTTCGTTAGTTGATCTCCATGAAGGTTGACAACGTCAGATTCTAGATATACAATTGTTGAGAGGTTGAAAGTAACTGAGATGCCCTAAGAATGAAGCGCCGAATGAATAACTCGGTACTTCTTTTTTGCCACGGTGAAATTGCTTTAATTCCACATCCTCCTGCTTCTATCACGAGATATCATGGCAGATATTAGACAATCTCTAACACAAAAATCCATATGTACCTTGCTAGATTCCACTTCAGGCACCATGGAAGGCAATAATGGAGAACTACTGGTACTACTGATTGTTTGAGTTCCTTCAAAACAATCCTCGCACCACCACTTGCGACAAGCTTCACAGTACCGGGTTCGTAGACAATCCACGCAACGAACCATCAGCTTTTCTCGAGATGAAGATCCATCGAATGGTGTTTTTGCTGCCTTGGCACTAGACACATGAAGAGGGACAGGCGACAAGAGTGGAAATAAGACCATGGGCGACTGTCCAAAAATCGAGGCATTTTTAGCAGTCCCACAGCCGCTGCAATCACCTAGAAGATGAGTCGCTACACGCGCACCGTCAATGCGATTTTGCGTATGGTTATACCATGGACCAGGACTGTCCGATGGTAAGCTTGCAGAGTGACGAGGTCCCTTGCAAAGAACAGCATCAAAACTGATGATCCCCTCACAATAGGTCATAGTATCTGCCCAGTCATTGTGGATGGGTTTTGGGAACCTGTTCCCAAATTCCGGGTGTCCAACTTCACCTCCTCCACGCAATACACTCTCTCCTAAAGCATCTTCGGATCTTCGATTCCAGTGCATTCCAAGATTTGTTCCTGGAGACCTCGCTCCGTAATTGGGAATTGTGTCTATAGGCGCGATACCGGCAGGATACCTATTCACATGCCTTCGACGTTTCACAACTTGCGGAGCATCCTTGCAACCAAAGATATATAGCCCTTGAAGCCGAGGAGTATTGTTGGGTCTCGAAGGGCGACACGAATATTTGAGCGCACCTCTCAGTTTTCCTTCGTTAAGATTTTGTACTTCGCGGATTGATAAGATGCGAACATTGTACGAATCGTTCAGGATGATTTCGCTTACCAAGTCGGAAGGGACCGAAAGGCCGTCCAATATCAAAGTTTCCACATCAAGTAGTAAATTTCGACGGCGGAGGTGATTGAAGATGCCCCTCAGTGGGCCACCATAAAAGCTATGAACATGTCAATATACAATATTTCAGAGCTAGGAGTGGCAAAACGGACTCATCTTCTGTTACATTCTCATCTAGTTGTACATTTCTCCAGTTCTGTCCTCCATTGTCAATTGATCCAACTCCGGACCTTGCAGATTCGACGTCCGAGAGCTTCAAATAACGGAAAACATGAGGGGTCTCGTGAATGAGCTCTTTGAAAGATTTTGAGGTAGCTCCGAGAGCTAAAAGAGAAGAAACTGGGAGATAAGGAGTAGTTTGATAAAGAATCAAAGTATTTGATAATAATTGCAAGAGAGAAGATGGTAAGCTATCTGTAGTATCTCGAGATTCGAACTCCATTGAAGTATCTATTGAGTCTAGGAGGAGAGGTATCCCTTGATATGAGGAATTCAAGATGTGCTAATATCTCTGAAACGAACTGGACAAACTGACAAGGCAATCAAAGAAACTAAATGTAAATACTCTATATTGAATGAAGTAATTCAAGATCGATCTCCCAAGCCTTGGAAGTCAATCTTTCTATTGAAGTTAGTCAGGTGCTAATGCTAGCGCCACTTAGGCTGGCTTGCCACTGCCACAGATGGCCCGAATACCAAAATTGAGATGTAACATTCTTCCATCACTCAATCCAGATTCAACAACTAAATGGTCTTTCAGAAATATCGACTGTCCAATTTACTATTTCGACCTTGACAATCAAAACTACCTTTCCAGCCTTTGTGCTTTGGAGTTACAGGGGATTTTGCAGATCACCTGGGCTGGAGGTCTCAAGTAGCCACACTAGCCACAAACCACAGTCGTAATCACGTAATCACACCCTCCAGGCTCTTATCGATAAGAGATGAACAAGGATTATCTTCGGTATAGAAGGATCCAGCATTATCTGACATATCAATCAACAAGTTTCTACAATACGGTAGAGTACAGTACAGTACCACTTCAAGTGCATAAATTCAGAGCTCTTCTGAGATACAAAATTCAAGAGTTGGAAGAGTCCTTTGATACATACCATTGAGATTAAAGTATTTCCAGTTACATTAGAGAAAACTCACTATAACAGGTGCCTGCCTTGTTGTTCATGGACATGATGGCAGCAACTCCAGACATTTCTTTAACATGGTCATCAGTCTATAAAGTCGCCCCAAAAGACAATGTCTCTCTGCCCGGAGACAAGATACTATTACCCCAATCTGCTCTGGAACAACTATTATCAGCATCCACAGTTACAGTCAATGCTAATAGTCGCTCAAACAATGTCGCATTCGATCCATTCAATCCATATTCATTGGCAGCGGCTCGCATAGAACAGTCGCAATGGAGAGATACCCAACAACAACTTCCCCATCCTCTCACTTTTAGGCTAGTTAACTCGAAGAACGGCAATGTTGTATACGCAGGAATTCGAGAGTTCTCAGCAGATGAAGGAGAAGTTGTCCTAAGTCCATTTTTGCTAGAGGCATTGGGAATCACTGCGCCCATACGAAAACCAACACCACCAAGACCAAGGGCTGAAAGTAGGCGAGGATCATCGGATACGCCTATAGATCTTACAGATAACCCTGCAATCGACCTCACGGGTGACGAGATGATAGACCTTACAGGCGAAACCGAAGAACCGGCCCAGATCACAGTGCATGCAAAACAATTACCCAAAGGTACATACGTGAGGTTAAGGCCATTGGAGGCTGGTTATAATCCCGAGGATTGGAAACCATTGCTCGAAAAACACATGCGAGAAAATTTTACAACTTTAACAAAAGGTGAAATATTGATGGTTCGGGGTTCAAAGTCGGAAGAGTTCCGATTTCTGATCGATAAGTTTGCGCCAGAAGGAGATGCTGTTTGCGTCGTTGATACGGATCTAGAGGTCGATATTGAGGCTCTGAATGAAGAACAGGCTCGAGAAACCTTGAAGCAAATCATGTCAAAGGCACAAAAAGCTCCAGGAACAGCCCAAGGAAGTTCCATCGGCGGAGAGATAGATCTATGGAAAGCTTTACAAGGACAGGTCGCGGAAGGTGATTATGTCGACTATACTTTACCTTCATGGGATCGATCAAATGGCCTTGACACTGAGCTTTCGCTCGAGGACGATAGTGATGGTGATGTCGAGATATTCATTAGTCCTCAATCAGCTCATCAAAGAGCAAAACCACGAGAAGATGAACATGTTCTCGGAGATTTCTCAAGTGACAAAATCAAGAGGATAATCATACAACAATCAAACGTGGAATTAGACGGAGCTGATGCCATATTGATTTCTGTATACTGTCGAGGAACCGGAGCAGCTTCCGAGCCATCGCATGGACCACGGAAGTATTCCATTAAAGTAAAATCGCTTGAAAAAGGGGCAAGCAACGGGGCTCCAAGCAACCCAATCTTGCTGGAAGAAGATACCGAAATGCATGGATCTGATGAGGAGCAATGTAAAAATTGTCATCAATGGGTACCAAAGCGGACAATGATGCTTCATGAGAACTTTTGTCTCCGCAATAATATCTCATGCCCCCATTGCGATGGCGTCTTTCAGAAGAAATCTCCAGAATGGTTGAATCATTGGCATTGTCCTCGTGACTCGGCCCATGGAAATTCGTTAGAAAGCAAAAGCAAACACGACTCTATTTTTCACGAAGCTCGACAATGCCCCAGTTGCCCTTACGAAGCAACAAACTTAAGGGATCTTGCTACTCACCGTACGTCTGTATGTCCTGGCAAGATTATTCTATGTCAATTTTGCCATCTCGAAGTGCCTCAAGAAGGCGACCCCTTCGATCCGTCTCCAGAAAGTCTGATATCTGGACTGACAGCACACGAGCTTGCGGATGGAGCTCGAACTACGGAATGTCACCTCTGCAGCAAAATCGTTCGACTTCGGGATATGTCCACCCATCTTAAACATCACGAACTAGAAAAGAATAGCCGATTCAAACCGGCAATCTGTAGAAATGCCATCTGCGGTAGAACTTTGGAGGGCGTTGGTAAGAATGGGGAAGTGGGCGCTGGATCGAGAATGGGCCAAGGGCCTGGTAATGATTTGGGTCTTTGCAGTATCTGCTTCGGTCCACTATACGCTAGTATGCACGACCCACTAGGAAAGGCGATGAAACGCCGCGTGGAGCGAAGGTATTTGAGTCAGATGATTACGGGATGTGGCAAGAAATGGTGTACAAATATATACTGCAAGACTGCAAGGGCGAAAGAAGCCAAGGGGCCTCAAGCAACAATAGCGATGAAAGATGCCCTTCCTCTTATTCAACCATTAGTAGCCCAAATAGAGGATAAGACCGAACCGATGTATTTCTGTGTCGATGAAGGAAATCAAAAGAGGAGAAATCTGGCTGAAATGTTGGCCATGGAGCCTGGAGGCTGGGAGTTGGAGTGGTGTATTGCGGCTTGTGAGGCGGAGGGTGCAAATCTTGATAAGGCCAGGACATGGTTATCCAATTGGGCTCCTAAGAAAGCTTGATAGGGCTCGGATCTGGAAGGTATTTTGGTATAGGTGGGTATAGGTGCAAGGAGTGGAGCAAAGCGTGGTACTGATTGCATAAGTAAGGGAGTTTTGGTGGTTGATGATGATATGATATGATACCAATTTATAGACCAGATTTTATTGTGTGCACATAAATATACATAGTCGGCGTAGCATTAGCTAGAGATAGACCGAATTGATTAAGAATTTACTGCTACTACATGAAATTTTATTTTTTTATCTCATGTCATCAAAGAAGTGCCAAATTGCCGATTAGACTCTCTGAAAGTTCAACGACCACACAAAACTCCAATTCTCTGAGCATCGACAGGATTTCTCGAATGTTATTTGTCTTTTTACACCGAAAATTCGGCATCTATTTATTGTAATCATGTCTTGTAAAGCAGTAGAGATACGTTCTATATAATACAAGTAAATGTCTTGCCAAATACATAGCAACAAAATGCTCCCAGTGATCTATATATAGGCAGTAGCGCATAAGCGCCATAAAAGCAAAAGGGTATCTCGAATCCAGCCAAACGCCATATGTATCTTTCTTTGCAATCCATATTCCTACAACGCATATTAAGCACCACTAAGCGACTCCAATCCACCGAATACAAATTCCACATCGCACTTTTCCCCTCTACCCGACTTCATCCACGCTTCGACTTCATCCACGCTTCGACCACATGACACAATTTCTTTCCGACAGCATCTCTATCTGTGGTAGTCATCTCAAGGCCACGAGCTTGAGTCCCGCGGCGAACATACGTATCCTGCTCTGAGGTCTCCATGACAAGTTTTGAGATTCCATTAATATCACTTTGAACCGTCTGAAGAAGTTGATGAATTTGTAAGTCTGCAGGTATCGATTCTAGGGGAAGACGTAAAGTTTGAGCTCGCTTCAACTTCCGAGGTCCTCCAGTGATGCTAGAGAGGACGGAAAATGATTTTTGTCGTTTCATCAGGTAGCCTCGAGGATCGCTATCCGGAAGAGTGGTACAGACGCCTTCGTTGTTCGCCGAGGAAGAATTCTCCCCCAGACTCTCTTGAGACATCTCGAGGCTGGCTAAAGCAGCATTGTAACGATTTTTGTGAGGAGATGGCCGAGAAGAAGCTTTGCTTGTAGCGGGTGGCTGTTGGAATGTCTCTCGCATAGCTTGGAGCTCATCCCTGCGACGTCGAGTGGCACTCTCCTTTCTATGTTCAAAGTCCATAGCCCACTCCAGCTCTGGGTTTGGGTTTGGCTGTTGTTTTTGTACTTCCAGTACTGGACTTGCAGTCGCAGCAGGTTGATCGCACGCTTCTCTTTGTATTCGAAAGGGCTGATAAGGAGCTCCTAATTGTGCTTGAACATGACCAGATGATACACTGTTAGACTGCGGAGTTCGAGAAGGAGGTACAAATGGTTTGTTAGGTCCTCGGCCTCTTGTTTGCTTCTGCAGTTGTGCGTTTGGAGATGTACTTGGTGGCGACATCAATGGGTTTCTAACAAAGTTTGTAGCGGTGATGAACCCATTACTGTCGAGACGATCATGCGAAGGCTGAACTACTGGTACATCACCTTCAGTTGTTGAATCTGATTGATCGGCCGGAGTCATAGGGTTACCGTGCATGTGGCTCTTAAAATTAGAGTGTGAATGTAGAACATCTGCTATGCTGGTACTAACTTCGCCAAAGTGACTAGCTTGTACCGGTGAAATAACATTAGTAACTGCGCGTGGCGACACGGATGGTACTGAAATATTCTCGATCGAATCAAGCGATATTGCCGAACTGGAATTTGTGCTGGTAGCGCTTGAATTTGTGTTGATTGGGGCAGTCATTTTAGCAATAACCCAAGGATTCAACTCCTTAGAAACAGACA